TTTGTTTATGATGACTTGATACCAAATAAATAAATAAATAATTATAGCTTCACTGGTTACAAGTGTAATGGTTTGGGTCATTGAATGTCTTGGGTAGCTCAGTGCCAATGGTTAGAGCATGTGAAGAGTACTTGACTAGCTAATCAGGGGTTTGAGGATCATTAAATGTGGGATTCTTCATGCAAGATGCAGTCAACCCAATACCATGAATTAAGACAGAAATAAACTGGTATAAAGAGACATGTGAACCAACATTTTAGGTTGAAATACCCAATATAATAAATATGCTATTTTCCCCAGAAAGACCATTTGGGGGTTCAAATCAGGGTGGAAACCTTTCATTTATAATGCAGATGGTGGGGTAGTTTTTGTGTGGAATGATCATTAGGCGGGGGTCCTGATTGATTTTTCCTATAGTATAGAACACTGTTCTAAAAAAATATGTGTAATGAATATCATTACTGAAGAAATAATCCAACAAGCTCCAGGATTAAAAAGTGGTGGCAGGGGTCCTGTTCACAAGTACCTGTGCAAAAGATGGCAAAAACAAATACTTTGTACTCTTCTGAATACAATGCATGTAAAAATCACTCACCAAATTATGTCTCCTTGAGAGACTTTGTACTCAAACTTTTAAAAGTTTTAGGGCTATTGGTGGGTGACCACACAGTATTTCAGTTATGGCCAACAGGTTGAATGATTGGTTAATCTCAGCGAGATTTGTCAAGACTGAAAATTTTGGACAGACGTCTCCTCCAAATAGAAATCTGTCCAAAATTTTTAGTCTCTACCAATCTCGCTGAGATTTATGATTGGTAACAGTTCAGCATAACGAGAAGCAATTGATTCAATTGTGAAAAGTATGTGTCCATTGTATATAAAATTAAGGCAGTCATTTTCAATAGTTATTTAAGGAATAACTGTCAAGTTAGTAGAGTATACCAGGGCATCAACGATAGTTGAAATTGGGGGATAATTTGCATAACGAGTGACGCTTACTAGACAGTGGTTCCTTATATTTCCTTTTCATTGTGAAATAAAATTGTAAATTTAGATTTTTTAAAAAATAAACAAATAGATTCAAATTACACGAGGCCACCCGTGTCAATTTCAATATTCCCCACCCATTGAGGTCAAACACAAAGACAGTCGCACAAGATTTACATGCATATTGGACCTCCTTAGAATCAGACACAAAGGCAGATGCACAAGATTGAAATATTTAAATCATACATGTTAACTCTCCCGATTTAGGCGGGAGTCTACCGCTTTTTCACTCCATCTCCCGCCTACCGATTTAATTCAGAAATCTACCGCTTTTCTACAAAAGCTGCGTCTAAAGTATCTTTGGTTCGCTTGGGTATCCATTTTTGAAGCCACTCTCATAAAATCTCGCTAGATATCGCGTGATTTGACTCGGAATCATACAAACGCTTTTTTTGTACATAGATTTCAAGCACGGATTTGACAACGACAACAACATAAGACTACCAGTGATTACATTGGTTACGATAAATTAATCAACATCCCTGCCATGAAAAAGGAGATACAGCTTTTAAGAATTAGATGAAAACATTTGACATCGTCTTTAAAAGCACAGAAGCTCACAACTTTATCAATAAAGGCAATAGAAATCACTCGATTGACCAAGCCATATGGCACATCTCTACTTTCGTTTTCGATCATCGCGGGAAATCTGATTTATATAACGAAAGATACGAACTTGTTTTAGATCTAGATTAAACCATGCCATCATTTGTTTTGTTGAAAAACTGAATGAACATTCAGAATTATTGCTTCTAGGCTATTTCAGCAAAGATCAATCTTCAAAGGGCTAAGTAAAGCAGCCAATCCAAGCAAAATGATGAGCATGAAAAATATTTGAAGTTGTACAATTTATGTCAAACTTAAGGTGTTTCTGTCTTCTTATTGCTGTTGATATTTAAGATTAATTAGTGTAGGTACCTGATTTCATTTAAAGCTTTTAATATACATGTATATTACATGAAAGATATCGATAATCAAAGTGTTAAACAACGTGCGCGCAATGCTACCGCTTTTGAGGTCTGAATCTCCCTCTTTTTCATCGCAATAGGTTAACATGTATGTTTAAATGTTAATACTAGCCTAAGGTACCTTATGATTGTTGATGTACAGATATACAAGTATTATTTTGCAATGCTTGATACAGAATTTGGATTTATAGGCATTTACTATCTATGTCAATTCAACAAAAATTATTTTCATGTACTAAAAAGATATGAGTTGAATTGAATATTTTCTGTTACACACATGTATGTTGATGTAGCTTGTAAATGAAACACTTCTAGCATGTGTTTGTTTCTTTGTCTTTTCTGTTAGTACTAAGGAAAAAATGTTTTTGAACTATAATTACATTCCACTTAAATTAAGCTCAGTAAGGAGAATTATTATATCTATTATAAGCCATAAAAAATTTTAAAAAATTGTATTTCTAATTCTTCTGCATTCTACACAGGAAATCTTCAGTTGAACATGTATCCCATCTTCTTTAATATTAAATCTAAAAAACAAAACAATTAATTTCATTGAGAAAAATTAGATTGCAATGGTAATCTAATTTTTTGGTTTGGTATTTTTTTCCCTATGCCTTCCATTTTTTTTTTTAAATTCTAAATTGACATATCACCAGAGAAATGTGTAAGATATCATGTTCCAGAAATTAAATGTTTTATGATCTATGAAGTATACAATATATTTGGCAATGCATGTTTTTTTTAAAATTTATTTTAGTAAACAATTTATTTCCCCCTTCAGAAGCAGACTGTTAGATAAAAATTGCATTGTTTACATTTGATTTCCAGGTATTACTAATTTTACAAACTGCATGCAAACAATATTTTGACTTTGCTTTCACTTTAATTTTAAGGTACTCTCTAAACCATTGGGGTGGGTATTACCTATACATTGCTTCTTTTTCACAAATCGCAAGATAAACAAATAAAAAAGCTTCAAAGCATTTTAATTTTCTAAAGTGTTTTTTGTTAAATTATAAACATGTAAATTTGTCACTGTATATTTATCGTTTATAAAACTACATGAAAGTTCAATAAATACTGCAGTATGTCAATAGCTAAGGGTAACCCTGGTATTTATTCAGAAGAATTTTGTTCAATTATAAGGTATGACTTTAGACCCTTCAGCCCCTGCATGGGTTTCAGTTTCCAATTTTTATAGCTATAAAATGACTTGGAGTTGTAAAAGGGGTTTTTGAAGAAAAGTACATGTAGCTTGCACCCTCATCCTCAATAGAACTTCATTTTTCATAATATTTATTTTTTTTATCTCTTGAAGAAAAAAAAAATTAGAGCAAGTTATTAATTGAGTATATTGTTTCTCCAAGGATGAATCCAGGATATGTCTTTGTACTCTCATGTCATCCAGAACTTGTGAATTTTTTTCTCATTTTCCCATTTATAAATATTTTTTTTTATTAAAAAATAATAAATAAGACACTTCCACCTTGTTATGTTAATTTAAAAAGTTGTCCACATAATTTTGAAGCGATATGAGCAAAAATAAATCGATAAAAATAACCTATTGCAGATTTATTAAGAACAGGTGTGCGTGTGGTGGATTTTGATCCGCTCCCGTAAAAAACAAAAATGGCATCGTACAGCAGACGCTTCGTACTCATCGTAATTTTCGTGAAATACTGCAAGTAGAAATATTATCATGGATAATTTCGTTTAGTATCATTGCATGCAGGAGAATATTCATTTGATTTGCACCAAAACATGACTGATTCTGTCAGGAAAATGGAAATCTAGCCGAAAATTCTATGGCATGTCCTGTCGCACGACTGCTATTTTGTGCGTTTTCAAAGACTTGATATATCACCGGTGAGTTTATTAATTCTAAACAACTTTTTCTTTCTTCGAGACGAATTGGGGTTTGAAAAAATTGTGGAATTTATGTACCTTGCGAAAAAATTTCAAATAACTACCGTTTGACAGATTTTTAAATGCAAAAACGAAAATCGGCAATAATGGGTACTCGGCAATAATGGGTACTTGCACGTTAAATTAAATGAATAGTCAAATACTTGTGACATTTTGTTTACTTCTTACAAAAAAGAGTTTTTGTGAAAAAACTGCATATAAATAGCTTTATCAAGATATTTTAAATAGCTTAATAACGCTATATAGATTTTTAAAGCTATATGGCTTAATCAAGAGATTGTGCTGGACCTGCGGCTTTGTGGTCTGATTTAGGAGCATGTAAAAAGAAAGCAGGATTGACTTAGTATCGAAGTAAAGGCCTTTGTTTTTTGTGTGTGTTTTTTTTTAATTGATTATATGTTTAATTTTTTTTTATTTATTATAAATTTTGAATATATTTATTTTCTTTTTTAATATTTAACAGCAATATTCAATATTTGTTTCAGTGACTGTCACAGATTAACAAAAAAATTTACCTGACACAGTGTTGCTACTTCCTCTGAACTACACCAAAATTCTGGTGGAACGTTACATTTATTAGCTGAAGATACAGCTAGAACCACAAACAAGAAATAAACCACTTGCTTCAACATTGTTTTTGGTTAACTGTCACATGATTATCACATGCGCATGAATTGCTGCATCTCGATCTCGATGTTAATAGAACTAGAATCGCCTAATCATACAATAAAGTGATATCAACACTTCGAATAGGTGCTATAATCTATCCGAGAAAGTGTTTCACCTATGATATCACTTATTCCATATGCAATTTTACAAGTAACAGTTACATGTATTACTTTTATTAACAACCCACCCCCCCCCCCCCATTTTGAAAAAAAAATCATTTAAAAAAGTTATATGACTCCGGTGGTTATGACACAATGAAATAAGCTGCTTTTTCTCGAAGCTTTACATTATATAAATAAACTCTCAGTTACAAAAAGGAAAATATAACTTATATCAATTATTGGTTTATTCGGGTAAATGAAATACTGGTTCTTTAGTTCAACCCCAACTTCCTGTGCGCCATGTTTTTATTTTGACAAAAGATGGAAATGACAGAACTTTGTTTACCTCTTTTGATTTATCTTCACCATAAAATGCCATAATGTTTCCCATAACACCAGGTATTAAAAATATCAAGTTTTCCTCTTTACGCTTGTAAGATGTTGGTGTCGACATTTTTATGAATCAAGAATTTTACTTTAGTGATGGTGCTTGTGTTTTGTTTTGATGTTTCTTACTTAAGTTTTTCACAGGTAAGTCATGAAAGATAGGGACGGATCGTGCGTTTTAGATTTTTATGCACTGAATTTCAAATAGTTAAAGCACTGCTATGGACAGTTTACAGTTATCCCAAGCAGTTTTCATAACATTGACATTGTTAAATTTGACAAGAAGAGTTACTTTCCTTAGAAAGAGAAACTTTGCCTTAATAGAATGAAAGTATTTTCGAATATCAATAGGAGTGCTTCCTAATAAAACTGGTCATGGCTAAGCATCTTTTCATTTGTTGTAAATATGCCCTTCAAATTTGAAAAAGAAGCTCCCAATCAATTTTTTTTTTACAAATTAATTTTAACAATTGTTTCATTACTGACCCTAGCACTCACCAGAGCAGCTAAAAATTCAATTTTATCTCAGTTAATTAAGGTAAATGGTGCAGATTACAGAAACAAAACTTGAATACAACAGTAAAATCTAATGATACGATCAAATAGTTTATCTTTCACATCTTTAATTCATTTACTATAATCCTTAAAAATTTGTTGTTGGCAAGAGGATTGAATTTCTGGTGATGAATCCTGCCTTTTATGGTATATGACACACAGTTCTTTTGCAATCGGGCGTTTCAGAATGTTGTAGGCCATTTGAAAATAATGGCCAAAGAAAACAAAAGGCTACAGCCGAAATAACCTGTAAGTTTAACACTCGCTGAACAGACTAAATAAAATACAGTGGGCCTTCAGATATCCGGACGCCAGATATCCGGATGCTTCAGTATCCGGACGACTTTTTATCGGAACAGAATTTTTAAATGTTAATTTGTCTTGTTTAACTAGTAATTCAGATATCCGGACGCTTCACATATCCGGACAAATTGACTAGGAACCAAAGTGTCCGGATAAATGAGGCTCCACTGTAATGAGTTTTTTTTTAGCTTACCTGAGCCGAAGGCCCAAGTGAGCTTTTCTGATGACATTTTGTCCGGCGTCCGTCTGTCTGTAAACTTTTCACATTTTCGACTTCTTCTCAAGAACCGCTGGGCCAAATTCAACCAAACTTGCCACAAAGTATCCTTGGTTGAAGGGGATTCAAATTTGTTCAAATGAAGGGCCACGCCCTCATTCAAGGGGAGATAATTGGGAATTAATGAAAATTTGGTAGCATGTTTTAAAAATCTTCTTCTCAAGAACCACTGTGCCAGGAAAGATGAAACTTGTGGGGAAACATCCTCAGGTAGTGTAGATTCAAGTTTGTTCAAATCATGACCCCCAGGGGTAGGGCGGGGCCAAAATGGCCGACCAAAGTTTTACATAGAAATATATAGGAAATTTCTTTATAAATCTTCTCCTCAAGAATAACAAAGCCATAATTGATCATATTTATATGGAAGCATCCTCAGGTAGTGTAGATTCAAGTTTGTTCAAATCATGACCCCCAGGGGTAGGGCGGGGCCAAAATGGCTGAAAAAAGTTTTACATAGAAATGTATAGGAAAATTCTTTAAAAATCTTCTTCTCAAGAATAGCAAAGCCATAATTGATCATATTTATATGGAAGCATCCTCAGGTAGTGTAGATTCAAATTTGTTCAAATCATGACCCCCAGGGGTAGGGCGGGGCCACAATGGCCGACTAAAGTTTTACATAGAAATATATAGGAAATTTCTTTAAAAATCTTCTTCTCAAGAATAGCAAAGCCATAATTGATCATATTTATTTGGAAGCATCCTCAGGTAGTGTAGATTCAAGTTTGTTCAAATCATGACCCCCAGGAGTAGGGCGGGGCCAAAATGGCCGACCAAAGTTTTACATAGAAATATATAGGAAAATTCTTTAAAAATCTTCTCCTCAAGAATAACAAAGCCATAATTGATCATATTTATATGGAAGCATCCTCAGGTAGTGTAGATTCAAGTTTGTTCAAATCATGACCCCCAGGGGTAGGGCGGGGCCAAAATGGCTGAAAAAAGTTTTACATAGAAATGTATAGGAAAACTTTAAAAATCTTCTTCTCAAGAATAGCAAAGCCATGATTGGTCATGGGACTACTTTTGGATTTAAGCTTTTTGAGTATAAACCAATTCTGCTTTTTCCTAGCCACAGTGCTCAGGTGAGCGATGTGGCCCATGGGCCTCTTGTTTCACATTCAATTTATTTTCCGGTACTTAAATTACTTTTACTACTTTCCACAATCTCAGATTTCAGCATTCAATGACAAGTCAGGTATTCGATTTTGATCCCCAGTTTGCTTGTTAATTTCTTGTTGCTAACATGCTTTCCCTATGAGTACTATTAGTAATGTGGAATATTGAAAGTTTCTGAAATAACAGTGCACCTGACATCCTGCGATGCACAAATTTTTGTCATAGGTGTACAGATTTGCCCGTATTGACGCCCGGCTGGATGTGTAAAAATTTTCCATATTATTAAATTAAAATTCGGATATTTTATAAAACTCGCTCAAATCGACCAATATTACTGGTTGCAAAGTATAACAAACAAACGGGTAGAATTTGTCATGCAACCTTTAGGTCCAGGACTGAATATACAGTGAGCTGGCCCCATTCACATTATTGCTAAAATGAAGTTATTAAAGACATTTATTTTTTCGGGCTTGTACATTTTTGGCAGAGCGGACAACTTTAACTAGCAATCAGCCCTGCATGTCTAGCTAATTTTACAGTGAGTTTCAAACATTGGTAGTGAACAAGCTAGGGCTGGAACGATATATATCGAGATATCATGATATATGTGAGGACGATACACATATCGATACATATGAAGAAATATAGCCCCCAAAAAAATCTGACTTCTGCTTTTCTTTGTTTATTTAACATTTAAGGTTTAATATATAAAGGAAATAAGATTAATATAAATAGAGATATGAAATAAATAATAATTAACACCACTCGAGATTTTTTTTTTAACAACATATAAACAACTATTTTGAATAAATTATTCTTATTTGCAAAGAAATAATTTGTTTATTTCAATGCAGAAACAGATTTTATAAGCAATTAAACATATTTTGATACAAATCGTATCGTGGCTCAAATATCATGATACGTATCGATATAGAAAAAGTTGTATCGTCCCAGCCCTAGAACAAGCAAAGATTGAACTCGCAATGGAATATTATATTTACCATGGCAGATAGCATACTTCTGATGAAAAAAGTATACTGTCAGATGAAACTGAAGAATCAGAATAAAATGGAGAAATTCTCACAGAATGAGATGTAAAGATTTCAAAGGACGTGTTTTAGCATAAACCTGTAGCCATCAAGATAGTAGTTTGATTCAAGTGTATCATTGCAAACCACAGTCAAAATGCACAATTTTTCCCATTTTGGCCTTGGGTATCCTTGGGTATTAGAGAGCTGTAAGTGGACTTTTGACCATGGGTTGAGCCAATGATCATGGCATCTTGGCCAAAAAAAAGATAAAACAGCATTCTAGCTGTACATTCTGAAAGCATAAATGCCATGCAGAACTTTGTACATGTTATGATAATTAATAAAAACAATTTACTGACTTGGCAGTATGTTAATGTAGTAAGTTTATACCAGTGGATTAATTGTTTATTGAAAGCTTTACAACCAACAACTATTTTTTATATTCATATCATGTAGTTGATTAGATTATAACAAAATATACTGTTGATAAAGTACACATACATGTATATATAGCTTGTCCCATAAGTAAATATGTTTTCTTGATATTCAGCATGGCATCAAAACCAGGTTTCTAGAAAGAACATTAAATCTTATAGACTATAAAACTTAAAAATATGTCAATTAATCTTATTTGAGTTTGTCAAAGTCAGACAAAGTGTACATTTAAGAATTCAGTAAATTGAAAAAGAAGGAAATATTGCAGGAGGAAAATCATCAAAGACTTGTCTGGTTTGAAAAAAAAATCCCCCAATATCTTCTGCATTAGATGATCATAATAGGGATTTAATAGAAAATATTGATTTAACATGGGATTGAGGTCATGATGATATTTTATAAAAGTCTCTCAAAAATTTATGTTTGGTTAATTGGGACAGACTATAGCATGTGTCTTTGATGGTGGGTGAGCAATGATATTGGTCATATGTGTGCATTTTCAGTCAGAGAGGAATTATTTTTAGCTTTTAATTGTAACGGGAAAGATGGTTAAATTCATGTTTTGGTAAATTTTAGTCATTTTACTTCAGGAAAAATCGTTTCATGAACTTATATAAATAATAATTGGCACATTTACTGCAAAATTCGGCTTCTTAAAATTTGCTAAAATTGATTGAATTTATTCATTTAGACATTAAGTAAAATACAAATTGAAGGCAAAACTTGAGAATATGAAACAACATTGTCAGGGTATTGAATACAGGTATTAGCATTTTATGATTGTCCTCACTGACTGACAAAAATAAAGGATTATTTAATAGAAAATTTCACTGGTAGACCCAGAATAATGCATGATTGACTAATGACATTTGTCAAAAAAATATTTTTTTTTATTACCAATTATAAAATATTTGGAAATTTTTCAGCAAATTTCAGAAATAAATGGTGTCCTGTTGGAGTTAGGATCTACCAGTGTCTGCCCTTTAGACATTGTCCTCGTCCTTCTACCTCGGTTAACTCAATATTTTGTTGTGTCAGTGCTTTTTCTCCCATAATATGAATGACGCTGCTTTTTTTGTTTTTATTGCAAGGTATAGCCAGCTTAGTCACCCAACAACTGAATGTGGCAAGCAATGGTATGTGTGGAGTCCAGATGCCAAATGGACTGTCATCAGACATACGTAAATTATCCCCCCTTTATTTCTCTCTCCACATTGAATTGTGTTTACACAATTCCAGAAGTATCAATGACATGTTCTATGTGGCAAGCAATAATATATTCTTAACACATGACGAAACTTTCTCTTCATTCCAGGTGCTTTCAATGTTGCAAATAGTTTTAAACAAATTCATATGCTTGATATTTCTGGTATATGCATTTATGTAAGTACAATGTTTCCATACTGTAAAATGCTTCATCCTAAGCACTTACAGTACGAAAGTTTTCTGCATGATGTAGATTTTAATTAACTAGTGTCCACAGGTTATTAGTAGCAGTGAGCGATAGAAAAAAAATAATTTTGATGTTTTCACCATAAAAATCACGTTGACTAATGTGTTTTAGCGCAGAGAGAATTTTGTCAAAATATTATTTGCAGACATTCAAAATGCATGAGTTAATGGGTTGCTTTTATTTCTTTTGAAAAGCAAGACATAAAAGATTAATGGAAAATTAATTTCCAAGCTTTTTTAATGATATATATTTCCTAGGAAATATGATTTTCAGTTATTATGGTTCTGGACAAAGTACAATTCTGAGAGCTTGCATCATTAATTCCCTCAAAATTTCAAAATGAAACACACAAGAAGTTCAATGAAAGAGTGAGCAGGTGCTTTTCCGGGTGTAGTGTAACAAGTCATGTATTGCCGGATTTGACGGAATCTTTATCTTTCTTTTTCAGGCTCCACGCCTCTGTCATTCGGTCCATTCACCACTGTTCCTCCACCTGAACGTAAGTTATACATAGCTTTTATATTTACAAGATTTTTCATACAAATATCACGAAAATTTTTATTTCTGACATAGAATATAATGACAAAAAAAATCAAAGTTTGATTTATTTTTTATTTGTTTGATTTTAGTTACATTTGAGGGTAAGAATTGATATTTAAACCATATTAAATGTATTGTTTTTTGTGAATGCTGATTTTTCCATGAATGTTTTTAATTCTTTTCAAATATTTAAATCGTGGCGGGTCATTCTTTAAATTTCAATCAAAAACCAGTGAAAAAAAATCAACTAGACAAATTACTAGTAATAGATTATTGACTTGTTTCATCCAGCCATCAAAAGAAATCCAAGAAAGAACCTTTTTTTTCTTTGTGTCCATTCATGTGGAAAACAAAAAGAAATAACTAAACAGATAGTGTAAAAATTTATGATACCGTATTAATTTTAACATTATTTAAAATTCAAATACAACTTTATTTCTGCTAATTCTCAAGTTTATGTGCATCCTTATCAAACTTAAATGGGTGTTGCTAAAACGCGGAACGGGAAACGGAACGGAAAGCGGAACGGAAAACGGAATATATTATTTTGGATTAAATCACTTAAAATACACAAAATTTATTATAAACGATATATCATGTACATATTCAACCCCCCACTATTAAATACAAGTGGATTTTGTCATGCTCAGTCTCTTTTTTACGAAAATCGCTAACATAGCAGTCACCTAGAATCGAATATGAAAAGGGGGGATGAACGAACTTGAAAAGTATTTGACAAGCAAAAACACAAAAAAGAAACAATTGTTTGATTCGGGAGGGGGATAAGTTCCAACTCCAACATCTTTCAATACTATTTTTTTACACTAACTTACTGCATTAATTACATTCACAAAAAGTGTGAGGATGTCAACTTGAACGAACATTTCCGTAGTAAAAAGGTTATGACTGGGTGGGGATCAAATACGAGTTTGATATCTAGATGAACCATGAAAAGAGAACTAAAATGTAAAAAAAAATTATTATGATTACGCTTAGGGCAAACCTTTACGGCAAGCTCGGATAAACATCTCTTATACACACTGGTTGTTAAAATTTTATTCAGAATAGAGTCGCTTTCTATATATTTAAATTCTGGATAGACAAAGTTGGAAAACTTTCATGTGGTAGATATAATGCAGAATCTTTGCATTCAATGAAGTTAAATTTTGTTTGTTTGCGGTTCATATGTGTGTGTGTTAGGGGGGGGGTGGTGTATATGAATGACCTCGTAAGAAATGAGTTTGTTTTCCTGCTCATCGGAAAGGTCTGAGAAGTTGTAATAGGTATGCCCCCCTTTTTGTGTCCAAATTATACATAAGGTTTAATAAATCAATTTTTAATGTGATTGTGGGCCCCTAAACAGACCCGAAACTGCCGCTACCCCTTTCATAATTCGCGAATTCGACACTGCGTGCATAATCTGAATATCATAACTAGTTATTTTTGTCTTTACATACATCGACATTGGAAACAAATTGAAAAGGGGGGGGGGGGTCAGTAAAAATTTTCCAACATACAACAAATTTGACAAGCCAAAAAAGGGGGATATGTCCTTTGCCCAAGCACGAAAATCCCATTTCGTGTGTGTGGGGGGGGGGTCGAATTTCTTTCAGTACCATTCTTTCCATGGAGGGTGTGTATGACTCATAAATATATAATAGTTTACAATAAATTTTTATCAGAAATGATTTTTACAGCAAGAATATTGATCTTTTATCTGATTTATATCGAATCTATGGTATTTGTTTGACAAAAATTTTCCGTTTTCCGTTCCGTTCCGCTTTCCGTTCTGTTTTTCCGTTCCGCGTTTTAGCAACACCCAACTTAAACAGACAACTGAAAATATGAAAATCTATGAAGCTTCGCATTCTTTTCATAAATTCTTAATATTATATGCCTTGAGTATGCACATATAAAGCTGTGATATAAATTAAACAGAACCACTTATGATACAATTCTTGACTTTGTACATGCACATGTTGTATACCAGTATGAATCTCACAATCTTTTAATATTGTATGTATTCTATGTATTCTTTTGCATACTTTTTTGATGAATCATTGTGAGTTACACAGCTGTAATGACTTTTTTCCTTGTGCAGCTCCACCCCACCCTGCTGATCAGCCCCCACCTCCACCCCCACCATCCAATGGAAATGCCGGAGAGTTTGTCTGCCCTCTCAGACCGGACCATGGCCGAGAGGGAAAACCCATCGCTCTCCGGGCAAACCATTTTCATGTCAACATCCCCAAGGGCTTCATTCACCACTACAATGTAGCAATCACACCTGAAAAATGTCCCAGAAGAGTCAACAGGTAAGGTATCAACCAAACCATTTGTCCTTTTTAACAGTAAATTATTTTCAAATCTAAGTCTTCCAAGAACTGCAAACACAAGTTTCTGCTAACATGTGTATTGATTACGGTAGATATAGAACCCATGATTTTAAACACAAATCAAATTGTTATATACATCATGAAAGAAACTTGATAAAGTCTGGTTTTAGCAACTATTTGTGGTGTAAAAGTAGTCTTCTAATAATAGTCTTCTTATAATTTCAGAGAAATAGTGGAGACGATGGTAAATGCCTACACACCCAGAATCTTCTCAGGCCAGAAACCTGTCTTTGATGGAAGAGAGAAAATGTATAGCAGAGAACCACTGCCATTTGGCAAGGACAAGGTAATATTTTGGCTGTTTAGTAGTCTTTACTTAACAATCAATGCTGTAGAGTCTATGGAATAAGCATGATAAGGAAGTCATATTTTTGACCTGTAGGTGGAGCTGGAAGTGACCCTGCCAGGAGAGGGGCGGGACAGGATATTTAAAGTGGCCATTAAGTGGGTGTCCCAGATAAGTCTGTACGCCTTGGAGGAGGCACTGGAGGGCCGGGCACGCAGGATTCCCGAGAGTGCAGTAGAGGCCCTAGATGTCATCATGAGGCACCTGCCTAGCATGATGTAAGTAACAGGGGGCGGCAGAATCCTTTCTTTTGTCTACTAAAAAAATCTAAGTAATGGGTAGGGGTGTGTGCAACATCCTTTCTCAACTACATATAACTGAGATACCATTCTAAATTTAGTTTAATTTGACCAGTTATGGCATGAAGTGTATGATGTAGCTAATTCTGGTCGTTACACAGGTACACCCCAGTAGGACGGTCATTCTTCTCCCCACCTGAGGACTATGATTACCCCCTGGGAGGGGGGAGAGAGGTCTGGTTTGGTTTTCATCAAAGTGTTCGCCCCTCCCACTGGAAGATGATGCTAAATATTGATGGTACGTTATACATCAACTGGTTTTGGTCTCTTAATGATTACAAAAAAGAATAATACATCAATTCTATTAGTATTACAGTTTATACAGAAAGATAGCAAAAAAGTTTGATTTTTATTTTTAGTGTCAGCTACAGCTTTCTATAAAGCCCAGTCTGTCATTGATTTTATGTGTGAGATCCTGGAACTGAAGGATGCCAATGAACAGAGGAGACCCCTGACTGATTCTCAGAGAGTCAAGTTCACCAAGGAAATCAGAAGTAAGTCTGACTGATTCTCAGAGAGTCAAATTCACCAAGGAAATCAGAGGTAAGTCTCATCTATTGAAAGTCTTAAAACAGGTTGTTCAGAAAGCTAAATGTATATAGACAATTACATGTACGTGTTCATCTATGTGATACTAGTAACATAATATAGAGTTGATACAATGAAGTGAATTTTTACTGAATTTTGACTAAGAAATATGTCATACTAGGACCATCCACAAAACAAGAAATAATGCTAAAAATTTAAATGAGCACCTTATTTTAAATTTATGACAGATTTAAAGGTAGAAATCACTCACTGTGGAACTATGAGGAGAAAGTATCGAGTTTGTAATGTCACCCGCCGCCCTGCTCAAACTCAGTCGTAAGTACTGCCTCCAACAAACACACATGTACAGTTATAAGTTCTGGGTTACATAATGCTTGTTATAAGTAATGCCTCACACAAAATCATTGATTCTTCTTCACTGAACTCTTTTAAGTTAAAATTATGCTCGTCCCATTTCATTAGTTATCTAGGGGATTTGAGGTGATTTTATCTTTAATTAATTATTTGGGTTATGCAATGCTGATCAACGGTTATTCTATACTTCCTTTGATTTTTCTAATCATTATTTTCAAATTATGAGTTTACGAGGGTTGTTCAAAAATTATTGAGACATTGTGTATATTTTGCTTTCTAATGAACGTCTTTCGGTGATAATTTGCATATACGTTTGACTTACATTAAGAATTAATAAAAGCAAGAAATATTTTACAAATATTAAATATTTTCTCTACAATGGTATATAAATGCGTCAATAGTAGGGGTACCCGGAGCAGTCACGAAATCAGATATTGAAAATATGTAACACCAACGTTCTAACTCTTCGTGGACCCATAATAAGAGAGAAAATAATTCTGTTTATGTGTATAATTTTTCAGCTTTAATTCAAATTCATGTTGTGCAACTTTGATAGAATTTTGATCAGGAGTATGGAGATCATAAAAAAATTAAGCGCGGTAGAGAAATCTGCTAAGAACGAAAAAATGGATTTTGACGTCAAGGGCGGAGCAGGGAACATACCTAAAATTTAGTGTAGCGCAGTGTAGAACTCTTTTCCAGACACAACGACCTACTAAAATAATAAGTACGAGAAAAAAATAATGTGATAGGGTTTGTTATTTCATTGGTATAATTTTTTTTTTACAATTAGTTCAACCAGAGTAAAATCAAAAGCTCTGGACAACCATCAGTTATTATGTACGGTATTAATATCGTTCCGGTATCAATATCGTTGACCCGCTTTGCATAAATCGACACTGCATGATTTTAAGTCAACTTTTCCCATAAAAGAAAATATTACACTCAGGTAGCAACAGCATACGTTTTTAAGGAATAGTTTGAGAAAAGAGACTGTTAGATTTTTGTACTGTTATATGTAATAACAGAGAAGGAAGATTAAACGCTTCCCGATCGTTTTACATGCGAAACCATCCCTGGCTGACGTGACGTTAAAATGACGTAGTGATGCTGCTCCGGGTCGATAGACATACGCATGTTTATTATTTCACCAAAACTTTTCTTATTATCATAGGAATTAGAAATTTTGCATAAGTGTTTTATTCGTTCTTTATAAAATGTTGATGAATTTTCCTGAAATTATCTCCGTCCTTTATGGAGTAAATGTAATTGTCTCAATAATTTCCGAACAGCCCTCGTACTAAGGACAGTATAAAACATGATCAAGTTGTTTACATTTTTGTCATAACAGGACATTCATGATTTAAATTTACTTTTTAAAAGTCAGAACAAACTAACTTTAATGTTAGAAAATCTTAATAATATTTTCTCTGTCTTATTTAATAGACTCAGATTAATTTTATATTAATAAGTATAAACATATCTGTGGTGTTAATGAATTCTTAAATGTCACGTAATATGCACATTCTTCATACAGATTTATTGTTTATATAAAAAAAATGATGCAGCGTTTAATGAAATTTTATTTTTTCTTGAGATCTTGTATCCTTAGTTCCTCTGAGAATCTCTTTAATCTTTACACAGATTTATTATTAATAAAGATACATGTAAGTTGATACATTAGTTCATTAAATTATATTCTACATTCCTCTGAGAATCTCTGTAGTTTTGATTATTGTTTCCAGATTTCCCCTCCAGCTGGATTCGGGACAGACAGTGGACTGTACAGTGGCCAGGTACTTCCTAGAGAGATACAAGATGAAATTACTGTAAGTATACGTCAATATGTAGGATTTGTTCATTTACATGTACATGTACTTAGTGGTCCTTGATGGGTGAGAACATTTATCTTGTTTTTCTTAGATAATCATGCATACATGGTGATAAAGAGATTTAGATGTTGCACTGGTATGCATATCGTGAAAATGCATTTTATTTAAAACACAGATAAGGCTATCTAAATTTAATTCCCTGGTTCTCAGGCCAATTTTCTCCAAAACAGATGCGGGAGGGCGGCATTTTATTTTTCATTTTATTGGCAATAAAGTAGATGAGGGAGGTATTTTTTTATTTTAATTTCCGAATTTTCTTTAAAATAAAGATAATTTTTTTAATCACAGATATACTTTCCATTTCTGGTCAAAATTTCTGCTTTATCCATTGCTTAACAGCGTGTAAACATCGTAGGTAATGTCCTCGAATGTATTTTCAAACGAAGTAGCCAAAATCTCATTGTAAATTGCTACCGGAAGTGATATTTGAATACTAAACTACGAAACAAATGAGGTCGGAATTTTTTTTACCGGATTGGTCTCCGCATTACTAACTTTTTATTTTATCAAAAATACAATAAAATCGGCAATGCGGCTACCTCAAAACGGATGCGCGCGGGCCTGAGAACCAAGATTTCAATTTTATTTGGCCTAAGCTTTGGTATTTTGGTATCTTGAATAATCTTGAAGATTATCAGAAAATGTGATGATATCTGGAGTATGTGTCAGGATATCAAACTTGTGACTTTACGTCAAAGATACCATTATGATAACAAAGAGAGACAAGAATTTTTTTTTTTTGCTGTATAACAAGATGTAGCAACATTTAGTTTCTTGAAATATTACAAAAACTAACCTATGGGTTCATGCAGATTGTGTCCCATAGTTGATTTTTTTACCTGGCTTATTTAAATGTATTTTATTGAACAAATTGCTGTTTTTAATGATTTCTTATTAGGGCCCCGCAAGAATTTGCGGGTGCCCTATAGTAATCACTCTGTCTGTCCGTCCGTCCATCCGTCTGTCTGTCTGTCTGTCTGTCCGTCTGTCACTCTTCCGTCCACAAATTTTCTGTTTTTTACCAATAACTTTTTTTATGGTTGCCCAATCATCTTCAAATTTGGTATGGTAGTTCAGTAGGCAGAAATACATATTTTGATGCTAAGTTTGGTTCTGTATGTCTTCTGGTTTGGAGCTGGGGTGGTGGGGTAGATTCTTAATCTATGCATAAGAATGAATGTACAACTTTTTTTATGGTTGCCCAATCATGTTCAAATTTGGTATGGTAGTTCAGTAGGCAGAAATACATATTTTGATGCTAAGTTTTGTTCTCTATGTCCCCTGGTTTGGAGCTGGGGTGGTGGGGTAGATTCCTTAACTTTATATACCAAAGCATTGGCAAAGAGAGATAACTGCTGAAGATGTTCCCATTGTAAATTGAATGCTTCTATGAGTCCCTTGAGATTAATTAGCTTTCCTCCTGAAGAAAATGCAGAGCATTATCTTTATCTGTCAAATTGAGATGAATTACCACCTCTGTCTACAAATAAGTTTGTTTTGAAGTTCAGTCAATTTGGAATGCTATGAACACTCTGAAATGTGGATTTAATTTTTATGTTCCCCAAACGAAGTTGGGGAACATATTGTTTTTACTCTGTTTTTTATAATGTTCCCCAAACGAAGTTGGGGAACATATTGTTTTTACTCTGTTTCTTATTATTATTATTAGGGTCTTCCGTCTCCAACGGAAGACCCTTCTATTATTCTATTGTTTCTTTTTCACTTTTTTTCTTATTATTATTATTTTTCTCCATACCAATTTTTGTGCAGACGATTTCTCAGAGACGGTTTGGTCGATTTCCTTGAAAATTTCAGAGATGATCTATAATAATGTGAACCTTATTCATTTTTTTTAATTTTTGAAAATTCACTTCCGGTCGGAAGTTATCGCCCTTTAATCGAATTTTTAGTGACCATTTTGTCCGGACAAAAACTCAAAAACGATAAAAGCTAGAATGCTGTCCTTTTCAGGACTGATAGACAACATATTATAGTTTTGCACCTATACTTTCAAATATTCCGGAAGTGCTTAGTATGGAAGCTCGGTAGGGGTCAAAAATTAAGACATGAATCATGACTGAAATTTTGAGACATTTTCCATCATATCTTTTAAAGTATAATTATTTTGTTAAAACATACTGATCAATATTTGTGCAGAATCACAAGATCTTTAATATGATATCAAGAAAAAAGTGCTGACTCATCACATTAGGGGCCGAGAGGGGCCAAAAGTGTTTAAACGATAACTCTGTAACAGTCAATATTTTGTAATAAATTACTGAAGCAAAAATGTTTATCTCAACGATCTACAACTATATATTATAATTTTAATATCGTATATTACATAATTAGGGGCCACAAGGGGCCAGAATGCTAAATCTTTGACGCTTTATATCTCGAGAGTGAAAATATTTTGATAAGTAATATTGAACAAAAGATGTTCAAATTAATGTTCTAAACAATATGCAACCTTTCATTTTTTGCTAAACGTCCCCTTTAAGGAGTTGAAGGGTTGGCCCCTAATTATTTTTTTTGCTAATAGCTCAAAAACGAAAAAGAATTTCTGATTAATTGTTGAACAAAAAGTGTTCAAAATCCTAAGAGCTGTACGATGAGATCATCATGTATACATGAAAAAGGGGCTGGGCACTCGAATTAGGGGCCAAGAGGGGCCAAAAGTCTTCAATCGATAACTCTTTATTAGTTAATATTTTGTAATATGTTACTGAAGCAAAGATGTTTATCTCAACGATCTACAACTATATAGTTTGATTTTTATGTCGTATGTTACATAATTAGGGGCCGCAAGGGGCCAGAATGCTAAATCTTTGACGCTTTATATCTCGAAAGGCAGAAATATTTTGATAAGCAATATTGAACAAAAGATGTTCAAAATAATGTTCTGAACGATATGCAACTTTTCATTTTTTGCTAAACGTCCCCATTAAGGAGTTGAAGGGTTGGCCCCTAAATATTTCTTTTGCTAATAGCTCAAAAACGAAAAAGAATTTCTGAATAGTTGTTGACCAAAAAATGTTTAAAATCCTAAGATCTTTAAGATGAGATCCTGACAAAAGGGCTGGGCACTCGAATTAGGGGCCAAGAGGGGCCAAAAGTCTTCAATCGGTAACTCTTTATTAGTTAATATTTTGTAATACATTTCTGAAGCAAAGATGTTTATTTCAACCATCTTCAACTATATGTTATGATTTTTATGTCGTATGGTATATAAATAGGGGCCACAAGGGGCCAAAATGCTAAATCTTTGACGCTTTATATCTCGAAAGGCAGAAATATTTTGATAAGCAGTATTGAACAAAAGATGTTCAAAATAATGTTCTAAACAATATGCAACCTTTCATTTTTGCTAAACGTCCCCATTAAGGAGTTGAAGGGTTGGCCCCTAATTATTTCTTTTGCTAATAGCTCAAAAACGAAAAAGAATTTCTGATTAATTGTTGAACAAAAAATGTTCAAAATCTAAAGAGCTGTACGATGAGATCATGAAAAAGGGGCTGGGCACTCGAATTAGGGGCCAAGAGGGGCCAAAAGTCTTCAATCGATAACTCTTTATTAGTTAATTTTTTGTAATATGTTACTAAAGCAAAGATGTTTATCTCAACAATCTACAATTATATATTATAATTTTAATGTCGTATGTTACATAATTAGGGGCCACAAGGGGCCAGAATGCTAAATCTTTGACGTTTTATATCTCGAAAGGCAGAAATATTTTGATAAGCAATATTGAACAAAGGATGTTCTAAATAATGTTCTGAACATATGCAACCTTTAATTTTTTGCTAAACGTCCCCATTAAGGAGTTGAAGAGTTGGCCCCTAAATATTTTTTTTGCTAATAGCTCAAAAAAACGAAAAGAATTTCTTAACAGTTGTTGAACAAAAAGTGATCGAAATCCTAAGAGCTTTTAGATGACATGAAGAAAAAAAGGGCTGATTCCTACAATTAGGGGTCGTTAAGGGGCCAAAAGCCGATTTTTTAAGTCTTTAATGTTCAATGTCTTTTACAGATTGTGGTAAATCATTATCTTTTAATGAAAATCTCAATCAAAATCTTATCTCATCTTATCAAGAATTGGACGGAAGACCCACTCGTTGCTCGCAACGAGATCGTATCTAGTTCTTATTATTTTTCTTCTTCCTGGGAAAATTTTGTCCACGAGTGATCTTGTAAACTACACATCCGACTTAGGTGAAACCTTTTTAGGGTCAGTAGGCATGTTATGTAGAGTTGCCAAACAAAGGTCATTTTGCGCGCACGTGCTTGCAAGAGCGCGCACGTGCAACAGGTGAAATTACCAATATAATGGATATTGCCGTAACTTTTCTATTTTTTGATGAGATGCTTTGAAACTCATAATGTAAGGATACATTAGTAGTATAGACAAGATAGCATGGTCAAAATAGCAAGATCTCACGCGCATGCACGTGCGCTTCGCTCTGATTGGCTGAAACTAAAGTCTCAATAACTTTCTTGTTTCTTGTCATAATCCTTTGAAATTTTGAACATAGTCCTACGTTATGAAGATCTACCGCATGATATATAAGAATTTTCATGAAAGCATGCGCATGTGCGTGTGCTGCAAGCTGATTGGCTGAAACTTTAAATGGCAATATCTCCTTTGTTTTTTGACGAAATTCTTTGAAATTTAAAATATAGTCATGCTTTAGGATATCCTACAAAATGATATAGAAAAAAAATCATGAAATCACGCGCATGCACGTGTGCTGCAAGCTGATTGGCTAAACTTTAAATGGCTATTTCTTCTTTGTTTTTTGACGAAATGCTTTGAAATTTAAAATATAGTCATGCATTAGAATATCCTACAAAATGATAAAGAAAAAAAATCATGAAATCACGCGCATGCACGTGTGCTGCAATCTGATTGGCTGAAACTTAAAATGGCTATTTCTCCT